TTCTTATCTCTGTTTATTCTTCTACCCTTCTATCGCTTCTACCTACAAACATTTCGAGTATCGAAAGAATACGTGTCCACGCTTTGTAGTATGCAGACGCACACAGACACACACATATACAACCAGGAGTGATAACTACGAAGCATAGCATAAAGAAGAGACCGAGAATAGAAAAAACTGTATAGCTATATTCCATCTCATTCTCTCGCTGGCTCAATCCTATATGTTTGTCTCTTTTTCTCTCATTATTTAGTATGGCAGCCGTTTCATAGCTTCGTTACATAGCTCCGTTTCCGTTTATTTACTTTTCAGATCACTCCTATTCTAAAGAAGTTTTCACTTCAAAAAAAAAATGTTTATGCAGCTTTTTAAAATCAACTAGCCTTATCTAACGTAACTATGAATATTTATAACATTATACGTTCACATACAAACACATTTCAGACACATATAACATGTAACATACAGAAACACTATACTATATATATATATATATATATACATATGTATAGGTTGTATTAATTGGTAGCCACTTATTTTGCTTAACGAAGGATTCATCAAGAGAAGAGAGGAGTCTCCTTTGGATAATCGTTGGGTTCTTCTTCGTTCCCGTCGAGTTGTGTATCGTTACGTTTCGCACGAAGTAATTTACACTAACCGTGGAGAGTACATTAGAGTTTGTGAGACCTCTCTCTCTCTCTCTCTCTCTCTCTCACTCTCTTTGAAACACATAGACTCAAGTAAACTCACGTTTATTCTCTCTCTCTCTCTCTCTCTCTCTCTCTTTCTATCTCTCTTACTCTTGTCTGCTTTTGGCCGTAATTCCATAGTCGCTTGGATAATAGTTACGTAACTGTTAATGCAGTTGCAGTTCGCTCTTGCACGGTGTAACTAAGCTAATCGTCAAATATTTACCAAGCCGTATAATGCAGCCTATTGCTCTCTCTCTCTCTCTTATTTTTTCTCTCTCTCTCTCTCTCTCTCTAACTCTTAGTTAAACCCTTTTCTTATTCTATTTCTTTCTCTTACTGGTTTGTCATTTTTTTTGTCTAAGTTGTTTCAAACTTCGTCTTAACCAATACTACGTTAATTTACATTATATACTTATGATTATATTTTTGATATAATGAGAATGATCTATTGTTATAAAATGTTGATTTAATATGATTCTAAATTATTTAATAAATTGTAATAACAATAGAAAAAGATCAAGAAGAATTAGAAATAGAAATTAATAGAGAAAGTATAGTTATGTTGTATGTAAATTGAAAATGAATTTGAATTGAATTGAAGTACTACGCCAACTAGTGACAACTTACAGTACTAATTAATATTCACTAAGAATTTCTAGAACTTTAAATTACATAAAATAACATAAAACAACATAAATTTTTAATATTTATAATATATAAATAACAACATATAAAATAATACTACAATTAGAAATGAAATACATAAAATAATAATACCACGATAAAATAGGAAAAATACAGTCATGTAAATTGCAATTGGAATTGAAATACGACGCCATATTGAATACTTAAACAACTTAGAGGATTTACATAACCTCTAAATAATAATTCTCTAAATTTGCGATAAAAAATATAAAATAAACGCCATAAAAATTATCCTACATTCTAAATTGACAAAAATAAAACAAAATGAACAACAATTTTATTAAAATTGATTCAGTAATTTCAAAGTTCAATAACTTCTAAATAATAATTCTTTAAATTTGCGATAAAAAATATAAAATAAACGCGATAAAAATGATCTTACATTCTAAAATGAAAAACATCACACAAAATAATCTAAAATTTTATTCAAATTAGTTCAGTAACCTCAAACTTCATTGAAAACCAAAAATGCAACCCTAAATTTTTACATTTTAACATGAAAATTATTCTCCAATTTCAATTTTTCCCTTTAACAAATACATATATGTACTTACAATTATATTTATACATAAATACACATTAATAATACATTTATACATTTATAAATTCATGTACACGTAATAAATGTAATTTATACATGCATTTATACAAACTCACGTGCATTCTCATACTTTCATATATAAATCCCATACATACATTTTCATACATGTATAGTATATATGTTCATACATAAGTTCATATACACATATATTATTACATTTTCATTTATATACTTTTACATAAATTCATATATACTTCCTTAGATGCATTTATGCATACATACATACATACATACATACATACATATATATATGATACATGTATAAGAAGAGTATATAAATGAATGGAGAAGAACCCAGGGACAGCAAGTTTCTCTTTCTCTTTCTCTCTTTCTCTCTCTCTCTTTCTTTCTCTCAAGGAAAATCTAAACATACCAAGACACGTTGCCTTACCATTCTCTTCTTCTTCTTCTTCTTCTTCTTCTTCTTATTCTTCATCTTTATTCTCATAATTCTCTTACTATTATTCACCAAAGTAATTTACATTCATAGCACCAATATGTCTACCATTTAATCTTTTACCAAACACACAACACACAAGTGACTTTATATCAGACAATCCGATTAATATTAAAACAAATTCTTCTTATATTCTTTTTTTAAACTCTGACCATCGCTGTAACATTGTTTTTACAATATATAACAGTGAAATGTATTATATACAATGTATTTGAAATTCAAATGAAACTGGATTTAGCTGAAAGGATTAAAGGATCTCGTTCATTCCCATTTTCCTTAGGTTCAAGACTTTTTCTTCTTTGTTGGATCTTAAAACCACATACCTACCTAACCCCACCCACTAAACTTTCCTTCCTTCCTTCCAATAATACCCTCTCTCTCTCTCTCTCTCTCTCTGTCTCTCTCTCCTTTCTTCTTGTGCCAACCTTTTTCCAAACTTGTGAGTTTTTGAATAAATTACTTCTGACCTTATCTCATCTCATCTCATGGCCGGAAACAACGTGATTACGTTGAATATGGCTACTCAATTCAACCGGTTGCTTCATTACCTTAGCCATTTTCTCAAACAGTTTTTCCTTTTTTTTTTTATTTTTTTGTTAAACTTCTTTACCATCCTTACTCTACTTCTACTTCTACTTCTTGGGTTCATCCATGTTCCTTTCATTTTACTTCCATCTCTTTACCTACCTACTACTATTAACTATCTTTTATTAATAATAATCCTACCATCTTTGCTCAGGCTTACCAACGTCAAAAGATTGAATGTCTTGTACGCTAATGATCTCGTTGTCTATTTAACAATGTTCACTGAGTAAAGAGAGAGAGAGATAGATAAATAGATAGTTAGATAGATATAGAACACAGAGAATATTATCTTACATGTATATACAGTGTGTTACAATAGAATATACATAGTAACCTGAGAAGCAGAACAGCAAAAGGCACCAGTTGCCTGCCTTACCCATTTTCACTTCCTTTGCTACTCTTCTCAAGTCTCTTTGTTAGAAGGGTTCCCTTTTATTATTGATGAATATAAGGAAGAAGCAAACGTTATTTGAGGGAAGGAATAATTAATAATCTAACCGGTGTGTGTAGAAATCATTTCAATATGGGGTTGCGTCAGGGTTGGAATTTTCATTGATTTATAATTTAAAAAACAAACCCTCAAACTTTTAGATTATTTTTATTAATTGTCTTATTGTTTTTCTTTTTTTATTCCTGATACATCTGACTATATTTCTATCTTTAAAAATACATATTTAGTATAAGTTTTATAATATAATATAATTAAATGAATGTATGATAAGAAAGGTATAGGTTATATTTAACTAAACACCATAAATTCCATTCTATTTGGTATTATTTTTATAATTTTTTATTGCTAAGTTAAGAATTTATTATTTAGAGGTTATCTAAGTATTTAAGTACCGTAAATTTTCGATAGATAGCGTTGTATTACAACTCAATTCTAAGCTATAAGTTTTTGATAGATGGCATTATATTAAAATTCAATTCTAACCTTACTTTGTCTATATTTATATATGTTAATGTTGATTAACAAGAACCAACATTAAAAAAGTGTGTACAATTGTTGATTAATTTATGATTTGATTTGAATTGTTACAGGAAAGCGATTTGCTGAACCCAATTGCTCGGCTTTCGGACTATCACATATACAGAATTCCCAACGCAAAGAAATATTTTACCGCCCCATTCGAGTGGGGCGCCTGTCTTAGGCCAAGTAGCAACTCTGAGGCCGAAGACACGGAAACTGGTGAGCACGGGCTCAAGGTTATCGCCTTTAACAGCGAAAAGGCACGGGCTTGTTGGCTTACAGCCATGAGGCTCGCCAAGGTAACGTCAATTTTTTATTTTATTCTTCACTATTTTAGCACCCCTCCCTCCCCCTCCCCCGATCCCAACCCTTTTGTATCTCCTTTCCTATCTCAATCATTTGATGTTATAAGCAAAATAAAATGGAAGCAAACTTTTAGTCAGTAGTGTACATTACATCTAAGGTCCCTCCCTATTACACGAATCTTCAGTGGTCTATTCTTTCGCAAAGTGGAGACTCAGACCGAACCTCTCAAAGCAGACGACGAGTTTCTAGTGTGGGGAGGGGATGAGGAAGGGGACGGGGGTCCGTTTCTTGTGACATCAGCGGTAGCAGTAGCAGTATTAGTAAAAGAACCATCATCACCCAACAACGTCATCGTCATCGTCATTCTTGGTCTTATACTTTTTCTCGTTTGTAAGCTCAAAAAAAAGACATGGACCACCCTCAAAGAACCCCGATGTGTGTCTTCTCTTGAACAACACCCTCAGGCTGATACAAACGCACACATACATGTATATCTACCTAGTCTAGTCTGAAACCTGACGTTTCAACCCTCGTTTTGCTTTACATAAGCCCTCCTTCAACCCACCCCCAACCAACCACCACCTAACTCTTCTTCTTCTTCTTCTTCTTCTTCTTCTTCTTCTTCTTCTTCTTTCGTCAGTTTTGTCCTTTCCCTCTATCTCTTTTTCTAACCCTTTTCATTCGACCGTTCCTTTCTTTTTAAAATTATCTTTCTTTTTCCATCGGCACTACCAACATTCCCGTTCCCCTTTCGGGTTGTTACTTCAACCCTAAGCCATCCCCTTTTTTTCATAGTTTTTTTTTTTCTTTCTTTTTCGTTAAAGGTAAAAAAGAAATATGGAAGGAGAGGAGAGGGTGGGTGGGGAGTGGGAAGTAAAGAGTTATACATCAGTGACGTGTGGTTCTTTCAACACACTAGGTGTAATAGTTGTAATAGTAGTAGTAATAGTACTCGTATGAGTTTTTTTCGAGAAGTAGCTCGGATACTTCTTATTCCAACTCTTTCATCCCCAAGCGAAAAAGAAAAAGGGGTAGAAGAGAAAGGGTAGAAAGCTGAGTGGTCGTCTTGAAGGGGGAGTCCAACTTCTCGTTCAACAGAGGAAGGGGGATAGCAAGACACCCCCTTTTCTAACTTGGACGAAGCTTAACCTCCTCTTATTCTTATTCTAGCGTACTTGCTTTCTTCTTTTTTTTTTACTTACTTCCTTCCTTCCGGCTTTCTCTTTCTTTTTGACACATACACATGTATATGCAACCCTTTCTGTTCTTTTACTCTTTCATCTCATAGTGGGTGATGATAATGATGATGTTGATGATGATAGTGGTGTTGGTGACACACCATTGCAATAAATCACCAACTCGTTGGTGATATACACACACGTAACCATTTTACACATATACACACACACGAACGTATGCATACAAGTTTGAAATAATTTTTTTTCTAATGGAATTGAAACACTCGTTTTGTGACTTTACCAAATATTTCAACTTTGAACGATGTTTCACGATCATTCACGATCATTCTTTTTTTGTTTAAACTTAAGGAAATAATAATATAAATAATAATGATAATTATTATGATTATGGTGATGGTGGTGGTGGTGGTAAAAGTGGTTAGTTGGTAAACTTACAGGGATGATTAAGAGAAAATTATTAAGTTAAATCCTATACTCCATTATGGTATCCATTTTACATCCATATGTGTGTTTGCGCTTACTTGTGTGTCGTTTCGTGTACGTGTGAGTGGGGGTGTGTGTAAGTGAGTGTACTCGAAAGCGCGCGCGCACACAGACCTCTTCTTCTTCCGGGTCGATACAGCGAGTCATATCATCCCCTATGGTAGAGATCCACGCCTATGGTGGTTTATGGTAGTTGCTTATGTGCTTTAAATACTCAACGATAATTTTTTACCTTAAACACCCTTTATCTTCATCCCTTATTATATATTATTTTTATTTTTACACAAATATGTTACCAATAAAATATGAAAACTTAGATAATGTTTATTATTTAATAATTAATGATCATTTAATTATTATTTTAGAGACAAATCATTGAGTTTATTTTTTTTTTTTAATTTTATTTTAAGTATAACGTAGACATTAAAGTATCGTTTAAGAAAATGTCACTCACCCTTGCTGTTGAAATATATTTTTATGTCAAAAAGCAATAAAAACAATTCCCTCTTGGGTTAGTAGGGTGGTAAAAGGGTATTTGAGAAAACGTGACTACAAATTTAAATCTAAAGCGAATAGGTTTTTGATTGTCGTAAAATATCAATTGCTATAATATAATATAATTCAATGTGATTGGTTGACAATCCTTTAGATTGAAATTAATCATTTTTTAAACATTATTTTTATATTCCATAATGTTTTGCAAATTTGTTTCATCTTATATTTAATTGTAATAATAATATTTTAAATTTTATATTTATTTTCTTTTTTTATCTTGTTAAATACAGTTTTTGTTTAGGACTAGGTACCACGTGTTTCAATAATTATTATTATTTTAATTCAAAGTGTTATTTAAATAACGAATGATAAATTATTTTAATTTATTTTTGTTTCTGCATTTACAGTACGGAAAACAGTTAAGGGAGAACTACAGGGCCTTCAAAAATAAGCAGTGTGAACAACCATCAGGAAGCCCTAAGGATCAATTCGGGAATTACAACGTCACCAACGTGAGTCATAATTTTCATTTCACTTAATTATCAACAAATCAAACAACATTTTCTATTGCAACATTTCAATATATGCGTATAGTAGTATTCTCTTTTATATCAGCTGTTTCACGTAATGCAGCTGATCTCAAGGTCGTTTCTATGTGAAGTTCGAAGAGAAATAGCACACACAGAGTAGTATATCACCCCCTTTTTCGTTGTCGTTCGTTCACAGGGAAGATGGAAACACAAACCAGTGAAACGTTTTCGGCTATTTTCCAAGCTAGTCACGTACCGACCCACTGCCATCGTTGTCCTTTTCATCCCCCTACCCCTAACCCCCTCATTCTAGTCTTTCTCATCTTCCTTATCTTCCTTTTTCTCATTCTCATTCTTTTCTTATTTCAACCTTTTGTGTCTGCTTTATTTTCTTAAGGTTTTTTAACCTTACTTGTGTAAATCATTGCATATTACTTTCTAATATTAGTGTACATTCAGTGTACAATGAATTATCAACAATTTTATGTTTAACTATGATAAACAATTATTAAGACCATATTAAAGTATACATCTAGTTATTAGAACTATAATAAATTCATATTAAAAATTTTCTATTTCCAAATTGGGTTCCAATTGGTGTTCAAACTCTAGTGTTGCATATAAATACAAAAATATTATAATAAAATTAAAAAACTAGATACTAAATCCAAGAAAATCTAAAATTAAATAAATCTAAAATTATTAATAAATAATTATTAAATCAATATAATACAATAATAGTAAACCATACCTAAATTTTATCAAATAACCTTTGAAATATCCTATCTTCAAATTACATTGTGGTTATTCAAACTCTAATGTTGCAAATAAAATAAAATAAAAATAAAAACTAGACAAGAGGTTGAAAATATATAATATATGAAACCCCTATCCCCAAAAAAAAAAAATAAAAAAAAAAAAAACAAGAAAAGAAAACGAGAGTGGACAATTCGTATGAAAACCGTGGTTTGGTATTGAACGGTCAGAGTGTAGTGCTGTTGCTGTTACTATTCCTGCTGCTGATGTACTAAAGCAGCACCAACATCAGCATCAGCATCACCAGCAACAGCAGTACTACAGTAGTAACAGTATTACAGTAGCCAACACACAGTAGCAATACAGTAGGACCAACAAAAACTCAAACGCAAACACAAAACATGAAGTTGGTGAGATACGTTGGTGACGCTGGGTAGTAGATTCGGGAATAATTCCAGTACTTTCGTTGAGAGCCCACTCTCCAATGGGTGACACACCCCCTTCACCCATCCCATCCCCCTAACCTTCCCCCTTTCTCTTTTCTTCTAACTCTCATCCCAATTCCAACCACCACCACTCCAATTTTCCCTTCTTTTTACTCACACTATTATCTCTCTCTCTCTCTCTCTCTGCTCATTCCAGGGAACCATTGGTCTGTTGGATTCTCTCTTTCTTTCTCTTGATCTCTTTTTATACCTTTTTCCAAGCATCATAATGTCCTATCCAACAGCAGAGTGTCCAGGCAAAGCAACGGCTGCAGTTAACAGGCTGCTTGCAGTACCCCATGGTCGACATTAAACCTCGACATCCTCCTCCTCCTCCTCCTACTACTACTACTACTACTACTAATACTACTTCTATTTCTTTTTCTTCTTATCCTCATTCTATTTCTAGTTGTTCTTTTATTTCTTTTGACTTTTTTTTTTTACTTCATCGTCATTCAGTCAACTGCAGACTCTCTTAGCAAGACACCAAAAAGATATTCTCAATTTAACTTTAAGTTGTTTTTATTTTATTCTGTGTGTGATTAGGAATGATAAGACAAATAATAATTGTATTCATAAATTCATGATTGTTTTTTTTTTAAGATGATTCAACTAATTTAGATTTGTATAAACAATATCAAACTCTGCGTGTGTTTTACTGACAATGAAAGTTTATGAGTTTATGAAATTTCACTTAGGTTACTTAAATAACAATTTTAAGAATCATTGTTCAAGTATATATTATATTGTATTAATAGTACTATTTGTCTTCTAACTCTAGTTAGAAAGAACAATTTCTATAAAATATTATCTATGCCTCATTAAAATACAGAACAAACTACTCTAGTAACACAAAATATTGAATACATGTGTATTTAATATTAAAAAGAGATTTAATGTCTTTTTAATAATAAATACACATGTATTCAATATTTTTCAATATTTTGTGATACTAGTATATACACTGCAACAAATTAACATTATTATAAATAAAAAAATCTTCATGATAGTATCAAACCTATAATTATATTATCCAATGATAGATAATACTCTTATCAATCTAAAATCTTCACTGATTTGAAATAAAAGTAATAGTAGTAGATTGTGAAATGGTTGGGATTAAGGTTTCTAATGAGAAATAAGAAGAACACCATAAGAAGAAGAAGAAGAAGAAGTAGAATTAGAAGCAAATAACTTGATGGGTAGCAAAAGAAGAAGATAAAAATAATGAAAATAAAATAAGATAGAATGAAAGTTGCAAATAGTTACAAGTAACATTTCTATAAACTACAATATATTCTACATTTTATTAAAATACCTAAGAATTAATCCACTGAATTAAATTAATAATATTATAAAATAATCTTCATAATATTTGATTGGTAACTAAGTGATTGCGGATTTTAAATAAGAATGAAAATTCCAAATTGTTGCTTAAAAATAAAAGTTTAGGTACTGTCCATTTTTGTTGATGATCAGATAGTAACATATAATGTCACATTCATCAAATTTCTGATCTTTGCTATCACAAAACTGAATGAAGTATAAAACAAAATTCGCAATGACTTAGTTGCCAATCCAATAGTATCAAACACCTAATCCCAATGTTAGATAATACTCTTATCAATCTAAAACCTTCATTAATTTCAAATAAAAGTAATAGTAATATATTATCAAAGAGTTGTTGAATAAGAACTTTCTGATGAGAAATAAGAACACCAAAAGAAGAAGAAGAAGAAGAAGTAGAAGTAGAAAAAGAAACAAGAACAACAAGATAAAGAAGATAAAGAAGATGAAGAAGAAAAAAGTAATAATAGTAACTTGATGGGTAGCAAAAGAAGAAGATAGAAATAACTAAAGTAAAAAAAAAAAAAAGAAAAGAATAAAAGAAAGAAAGAAAGAAAGAAAGAAAGAGGCCAGTTGCTCCTGAGGTAAAGGGCCTGGGCTATGTTGGAGGATGATGATGGGTACCTAGCTTACTCTCTCTCTCTCTCTCACACACACTCTTTCTCTTACTCTCTCAGAGTTGACGGTTTAAAAGTCTAGCAAAAAGCCCAGGCCGGCTGTTGCTACGCGCGAACTATCGACCAGCCAGAGGACTACTACTACTACTACTACTACTACTACTACTACTACACCTATATATCCATGGAAAAGAGAAAGAGAGAAAGAGAGAGAAGAGAGAGAAAGAATTCTCTCTTGGGGTATGAAAGAGAAGAAGAGCTATAGATGGCACACTCTACTCTCTCTCTCTTTTTCTCTCTTACACACTCACTTACTCACTACTCACACTTACACTAACTCAAACTCACACTAACTCTCAATGTGTTCGTACACGGTGACTGACGGAGGTGGATGCTACCGTCGTTGCTGCTGCTGCTGCTGCTGCTGCTGCTATGCTCGAGGTTGGAGGACCGAGAAGAGGTGGGAGGATCAAAAGGGCCAAAAAAGAAAGAAAGAGAGAGGGAGTAGAAAAAATGGAGGAAAGGATTCATTCTGAGGGGGTGGTTTCATCCCAATGTCCTTTCGAATTTTCTCTTTTTCTTGTTTTCTTGTTTTCTTCTTTCTCTCATTCGACGTTGAAATTATTCGCATTTACAGTTTTACTAAAATCTTTTTTCTTTTATTCCCCATTCCCCATTCCTACCAGCACCACCACCATAAGTCCACTGTTGTTTTTTCTTGGATTATTCTTGGATTACTTTTTTACTTTTCTTTTTTTTGGTTTCTTTTTTTTACCCATTGCATTTTCTCATTCCCATCAAAATCTCTGTTTTAAGAATTAAAAAGGGGGATTTAGATTTAATTGCTACGTTTTTATATTTTTATATTATTAAATAATATATTTATTATTTTATTATATTATTCAATATATTTCAAGGGATTTCAATTTTTGTTTTCTTCTTGGTACTCATAAAAATAAAATAGGAGTAGTGTATGTGTGTAAAATATGTTTAATTACATTTTATTCATTTCTTTCTTTTCATTTTTCATATTCATACTCACCAATAATAATATATCTTCTTCTTCTTAATATATATAAATTACGTGTCACGTTGTTTGTTCGCAATGAATTTCTAAACTACTGAACCGATTTTAATCAAATTTTGCACACTGTGTGCAGTTTCATCCAATTTGAAAGATAAGATAGTTTATATCTCAATTTATAATCGGTATAAGGTAATTCGTTGACTTAAAGACGTGTGTATCGGACTGATCGTGAGTTACAGCAACGTGTGACGGGGCACCCCTAGTATATTATATATTTATTGAATTTATATTTTAATCTTTTGTTTTTATAGATTCATTGTGGTTTCATTTAAATCATATATAAATATTTATATAATTTCTCATTCTTCTTAAATCCATACAAAATCCCTCCAAAAAAAAAAAATAAATTTATTTATGATTTTAAGTTTTGTCTTTTTTAATATTTCTCATTGAACCAAATAAATATAAAAATAAATTAAACAAAAAAAAAAGAAAAGGGGACAGTAATTTTGAATTTTTTGTCTTATCTGTATTTTCATACGATCATCTTTGATATTCTCATTTATTAAAGGATTTATATTATTAATAAATATAGTCTCGTTGAAGAAATAAAAAAATACAAAATGAGATGGATATAAATATTTGTTCTCTTGAACAAAATTTTTCTTCTCTCTTTTTCGAAATTATATTTCATTCGAATTATTATTACTCTGATTTCTGACAGTAATATATTTTTGCTACAACTTCAAC